TCCTTATTCACCAAATACTGAAGTATTCCTGTCTTTGTCTCAAACTTTTCCTTCTCGTCCTTCACTTCCTTCTCGTAATCACTGTTTTTGGTCCGTATTTTGTCGCCAAAGTCTTTGAATACATCCAAATGAGTGCCGCCGGCGGCCGACGTGTGTCCGTCGGTGTCCTCCGTGTGGACGACATCTTCGGTCCGATCGTCGCCTTTGAGTCGATGTCTGAGAAGAGCGACTCTCGACTCGCTTTCGGCCAAAAGGACGCGTTTCTCGCGCTCTGACTCTTCGTCTCTCGCCTTTTGTTCATCTCTTTTCACTCTTTGGATGTTATCCTTATTCCTCACGTGCCATGACTTGTGGTGTAAGATATTCATCGATAATCACCACTAATTACAGACACTAATCATTTGGTAATAAATTGTCACCACTTTTGAAAACAACTCTTTATTTAATTTATTGAATCGTTTTGTAAACAAAAACATTTGCATTACTTATTATATCACGTGATTATCACGTGATTCACAACTGTATGACAAAAAGGCGAACCAAACTGTTTGGCGCTGTTTTTGAATTGACTTTCTATATAACAAATACTAATACTCGTATTCAAAGACAAAATTGAGTTTGAGTTTGAGTTGGAACTCTTAAAAACTGGTTTAGAGATTGAGTTGGAACTCAGACTTTATTTTGTATTCATAAATGAAATGTTAAAAGTTGGATCTCTATTGTTGCGCACATTGTAAACGCATTTGCTATTGGTTTAAGTTTATATACTATGACATCAGTGCGTGGGTCCTGAACCCTGTTTGACAGGTTGTGTTACTATTGACTGTACTTTATCTTAATGTTATACTAGTAAGTCAACTTTTCAGGGTAGAGTCTGATAAATATGAGACTCTATTATTAGGAGTTCCAACTCTTGGAGTTGTTGTCTATGAATGAGAATTGAAACTTTTCAAGACATATAGCATGAGTTGGTGCTCTATTTTACGTCTTTGAATACGGCTATAAACATTTAAATTGTTTTGCTTTCATTGATTTAGATGTAAATAGTTTTACATTGTCTTTGATTTGTACCACAATATCAATGGTAAGAAACCATTTCTGTGATACAGTTTAGTATCAAATAAATTAAAATTGCATTTTTCTAATCGCTTTAAATAGTTTTGTATGGAAAATACGGGCATAAAAACGGACCGATTTTTAGTATCTATTTTGTTAATGAGTTTTAAAGCGGTCTCAATATGAGTGTTAGTAATAACCGCCAAATCATAGCACAATTCAATCACATTATCAGTCGGATTGCCTCTCATTAGGTCTTCGTGTGATGTCTTATGTTTAATGAGAAGATCGGACGGAATATAACAGCGATTATACCTCGCGTTATGTCCGACACCTCTCAACACATTGCATAATCCCTGTGCGCGACCCAAATGACTGCAAATGTGGTCCAAATCTATCCGTTGACTCACAGATACGTCCCGAAGACCTGACAAACACTCGACAATTAGGTAATAGACAGGAGAGACAGAAGTGTCGCTATATTTCTCCAAATCCTGAAGCGTTTGAAACGGAAAGTTACTTAAATTTCTTGAATCCATTCGCGAATCAATCAATTTCTTAAACCAATATTTTCCGGTCTTTGCATTCGTTTCGCACTTTTGATAAAAATTAAAAAGTTGTCAAACAATTGATGACTGAATTATAGGCATTGAATTACATGTTTGAGTTCATAAACAACCGGTTCGTTGACGTCCACACCAATTGGTTTGCCACTGAAGACCTCATCGATCAGATCAGACCAGTATTGGAGTCTGATTTGGGCCAAGAGTTGATTGGATGTCATGTCCCNCCTCATCGATCAGATCAGACCAGTATTGGAGTCTGATTTGGGCCAAGAGTTGATTGGATGTCATGTCCCGAGTTTGAGCCAACTGTGCGTTAAATGCTTTGATTGCAAACACATTGCGACGAATGGATGACTCGTTCACCAGAATTGCACTCAAATATCCCTCGAAATCGTATTTCCTGTTTGTTTTCAAAACAAATTTATTAAACATTTAATTAATGAATCAATTCATGACTTACTTTACAAAATCCATACAAAACTGTTGCGGAGATTGAGATAATTTTGCGCTCATTTTCTCTTCACTTGTCTTCGCTTTAATGTCATTGTCTTTGTATTGATTGAGACACTTATGTAAAGTCAATACATGTCTTGAATTGATTTGCCATTTAATGGCAATCCTTTTCAGTGAAAACATTGTTTCAAATCAAATCAGTTGTGATTTTTGTCACAAAATTGTAACAAAACTTTTCAATCAATTCAAAACATTTGATTTACAGTGAGTTTTAATGCATAATAATTACGTCCGATATTTATATCATATAATTTGTGCCCCAATTGTAGACTTGTATTGAATTTTAATGTAAATTATTTGCAAAACATAAATATATTTTTGACGTAATTTGTATTTATTTACAATTGAATTGTTGTCTGAAAATGAAAATAATTGCTAAACATTTAAATTGTGATTAAAATTGTTTTGTTTAGCGATTAATAAATGGCAATAATATTGAAAAATAGTCTCAAATTAAATGTATTTCACAACAAATTGAGCCCTTTTTTAAGGAGAAGACAACCGGAAACACAGATATCGAGTCTATTATCGCTGACCACCTCTTCTTGCGGTCCAATTGAGTCCACTATTAAACACAAATTACAGACAAAACTAAAGGTTTGTTTCACTTTATATTGAATTATAGTTTTATTGAGTTTTATCTAAACAATAGTTTTGAACATTAATTGCAATGAGTTTTGACTAATCATTGAATTCATAATTAATTGTTAAGAATATTCTCTAAGAATTGATACTTAATTGAGAGACAGAAGAGTATTATTGATATGATTTTCAAATGTGATTATAATTTCATATTTTCATTGAATTTTCATTGATTTTATTATTACTGTTTTAATTGGGTTTTCAAAACGATTATTATGTTTAAAGTGTTTGCATTTGTTTATTACATATTAATAACTGTTTTTAATTAAGAGATAAAAAATATGTCTCAAAATTGTATTGACTTTTTTGTATTGAAATATAAAAATGATGTGAAATTAATACAAAAATATGTCAATAGTTTGGAAACACATTAAATAAGAGAGAAATCACTTCGAGTGCTGTCTTAGAGGCGAATGACTGCACGAAAGGCCGTAAGAGTGTGGGAGTGTTGGGCGGCGGGGCGTGGGGTACAGCCATCGCTGACCTCATTGGCCGCAATGTCACCAAACATAAGCACTTGTTTCACGAAGAAGTGCTCTTTTATGTGAGAGACGAGAGCTTACGGCTAATCATTGAGAAGACGCGACAGAATATCCGCTATTTGAGTGCCATTAAACTGCCACTCAATGT